AGGAGCATGGAGGGACTTGGCACATGGACACAGCTCAACCGGATACACAAAGGAAGAAGGGAGAAGTCATCTTGAAGACCAGCTCGACCCTCTACTCGACCGGCCAAGCTTCAACTCGATCGAGCTGAGAAGTCAACAGTCAAACCCGAAAAATGTTGCTTCCCCCTTGACTTTCCTTTGACCCTAAACCTAAAACCTCTTGTATTTAAAGGCTCTAAGCCACGAAAAAACCACCAAGCTTTAGATTATTATTGTTTTAGATTCCTTTAATTTATTATTATTCCTTTAGATTCTTGTATTTAAAGGCTCAAGTGTCCAAAAAGGAAGGAAAAGTTCCCTAAGTGTTTAGAAAATCCCAAACCGCTAGATGTTACCTCAAGAAGCCTCTCCCAAACCGCTAAACCCTTGACTTTCCTTTGACCCTAAACCTAATCCCCTTTGTATTTAAAGGCTCTTAGCCACGAAAAAACCCAAAAGCTTTAGATTACTTTTGTTTTAGTCTCTTAATTTATTGTACTTTTACTTTTTAGAGATCTAATCCTATATGTGTTCTTGAAGCTCTTGCTTCTTGAATCCTAGATCCTGGATAATCTCTCTTGTATTTGCACTTGCTTATTTCAATAAAAGTTGTTAAATTTCATCTCCTCTTTCTTATGATGTCTCTTTTATTGCATTTGCTTGTGTTTACATTCATGTGTAGTGAGTAGTTACCCATTGGGGTTTGAGATGGGATAGATTAGAGGTTTCATATGCTTAATCCTTCTAGCTTATGGTCTTAATCTAGATCTCTCTCTTTTGGATAGATCTTAAGGCTACATGACCACTACCCCTGGCTTGTAAGTCCTTAGGCGACTCCCCACACGAAAGTGATGGCATTCGCTGGAAAAGATCCACTAAGAGCTCCAATATCTCTTGCTCTAGAAAAGACCTAGCACTATATATATGGATTTTTAGCCTCTTGAGAAAGAGAGCCGCCCTGTATTTCGATTTCCTACTCTAAGTTTTATTGCAATCATGTTTTCTTCATCTCTATGTGTGTTTGCTTTGATCATGTCTGAGTAATCCACTAGTTAGGTTGCTAGGGTTACTATTCAATGAGTTGCTTGCATGATCTTTGATTTCAATGATTAGCTAGGGATTATATTAGAGTCTTTGTCTCGTCTTGTGCACTTAACTAATGCTGATTGCTTTACCGCGCATCTAGTAATCCGATCTTAGGTTGATTTGAGCCTCGACAGTGCTGTATCATTCGCCGGACATATTCTTTGACAAGCTAGGTTTCTTAGACTGCGAAAGTTGATCTATCTATATCTAGTGAACTGTATCAGAACCTATTCATTCTAATGCTTGATCTAATCACCTAGGGACATACCAAAAGTTTAGCGACTAGGTAGATTAGCAAAGGAGCCGGAGCCTCGAAAGTGGAATGGTTTTATATTCGTGATCTGTGTTCTAGATGGTTCTTAATATCCCAATATCCCTAATCAATTAATCTATCATTGTTTCATTGATCATTGCTTGCTTCTCTGCGATAGCCCCTATGACCTAGCGCTTTTCCTTTATTGCTTACAACCTCGTTATACTTGCTAGTTCGGTTCACCATTACAACCTCAATCATACTTTTGTTTTAGCTTGATCCAAAATCCATAGTTTCAAAGTGTACTCAATAGCCAGTCCTTGTGTTCGATACCCATACTTCCGCGATCTGTGCACTTGCAGAGGTCTAGGAGTTTGGTAAAACCTGACTCCGCATCAAGTTTTTGGCGCCGTTGCCGGGGACTGCAGCAGTACCTTTGGAACTCGACTAGGATCTAGTCTAGAACCTTTTCCTGTTTTACTTTTCTTTTGCTTTTGAATTTTCAGTTTTTGATTTCCTTTTCTTTGATTTTTACTTTTGTTTTTGTTTTTCCCTTTTAGTTTAACTTGTTTCCAAGACTCTTTTCAGGTGCATGACTAGGAGGTCCAACAAGGACAACCTAGTTGAACATCCAGAGATAGACAAGCTTGAGAAGCAACTTAGGAAGCAGAAAGCCCAAGAGATGGCCGACGAAGCAGCTCGCGCTCACGCCGCTGAAGTGGCGCGCGCTCAAGAAGAAGGAAGAGATCCACCTCCTCCTCCTCCTAACCCTGCTGGAGATGTGAACGCACAACCCCAAGCTGGAGCACCTACAATCGGAGACTATGACTCTGCCGATGCTTTCTTCATGGATAGAAACCCTATCCATCCACCACCACCTGCAAGGAATGACTATGAGATCAAGCCTCAGATCATTGCATTGGTTAGACAGAACCAATTCAATGGACTTCCAGCTGAGCACCCTCTTGATCACATAGAAAACTTTGAAGAAATTTGCAGCACTACAAGATCCAATGGAGTCTCTGCTGACTACCTTAAGTGCAAGCTCTTTTCATTCTCTCTTGGCGACAAAGCTTCAAGATGGTTGAAGTCTCTGCCAGCTCACTCCATCACCACTTGGGATGAGTACAAGGCTGCATTCATCAACCACTTCTACACCAAACAGAGATCAATTTCTGTGAGAAACAAGATCTCCACTTTCGCCAAGGCAACAATGAGTCTTTCTATGAGGCGCTAGATCGATTCAAGGAGTACATTAGGGACTGCCCTAATCATGGTTTCAATGAGGGAAACCTATGGAACATCTTCTATCGTGGCATTGACCACAAGTACAAGCTTTCATTGGATACACAAGCAATGGAAACTTCATGACCAAGACTGTTGATGAAGCTAAGGTTCTTATTGAGAATCTTGCAGCTAGTGATTGTAACAACTGTCCTGATTATGACCGCTCAAGCCGCACCACTACTAGCTCCCCTGATTCTTTTCAAATGACTGAACTCAAGAACATGATGGCTCAAGTTCTTAAGGGACAGCTCAAGCATATCAATGCAATAGAAGGGATGAGTGATGCTAATGAAGATTCATCAAGAGAATGCATGGGAGATTTCTCTAATGAAGCCAATGAAGAAGATGTGAACTACATTGGAAACTATGGGAACAAGGGATACAATCCAAGCTATCGCCCAAACCCCAACATGTCTTATAGAAACCCCAATGTGGAGAATCCTCAAGACCAAGTGTATCCTCCAAGGTATCCACAACAACAAAGACCTCCTTACCAATCTCAAGGAAGTCAATTTCAGCCAAGGCAAGGATATGAGCAGAGATCATCATATCCGCCCAAGGAGCCATATGCTTCTTCACCAAATCAAGCTCCTCCAAACCAACAAGGTGGGAGATTTGAAGGAATCCTCCAACAGATCATGGATGGCCAGAAGAGAAACACTAAAGAGATGTATGAGAAGATGGACACTTTGTTCAGCAATCTCAACACCAAGTATGATGCTGTTGCCACTCATGTGAAGAAACTAGAGACTCAAGTCACTCAAACTATGGAAGCTGTTAAGAGACAGGAAGCTGAATCCAAGAAGTCCTTTTGCAACTCAGCCGCCATAGAAGAAAGATTTGAAGACCAAGTTCCAGAATGGATGCTTTCAAAACCTACTGTTGATTGCATGATTTGGCCTGAAGAGAATTACCCAGAGAGAGAGTCCAATCGAGCTAGAAAGAGAAGACTCTTCCCAAAGATTATCCCCAAGACAGATAACTCAGGAAAGTTTGTTGTGCCTTGTATCATCAAAGGTAACATTCTTGAGCAATCTTTGTGTGACACAGGAGCCAATGTGAACATCATGTCTAAGAGGATAGCTGACAAGATAGGCCTCACCAAGATAGAGCCATCATCCATCTCCATCAACTATGCTGATTCATTCTCACAAACACCCTATGGCTTTGTGCCTAATGTGATGGTGCAGATTGGAAATTGCTCTATCCCTACTGATTTCCAGATTGTGGAAATGAGAGAGAGTAGCCATAGACCTCTCATATTTGGAACCCCTTTCCTGTCTACTGTGGGTGCCATATTTGATTTCCCCAATCAAAGAATCTCTTTCAACAAGGTGAACAAGGGTATGTTCTTCCCTATGTGTTCAACAAAGAACTCTTTTGTTGACATGGTCCAAGAGGAGAAAGCTACTTTGAAGCCACCCCAAGAAGGAGAAACTGAAGAAACAATCAAGGAAGATCCCATTCCTAAGCCCAAGCAGCTTGCCAAACAAGCAAGGAGTAAGACTAAGGCCCCTACACCAAAACCGCCCAAGGGATCAACCAAGATTGAAGATGAGGCCAAGCCAAGAAGAAGGTTAGAAAGCCTAGGTCTGGCCGCAACATGAAGCTTCTATTCCCAAAGGAGCTTATTGATGAGAATCTAGAAGGATTCAAGGAGAAAGTGACAAGAACTCTAAAGCTTTTTCCTAAGGCAGTAGTGCCAAGGGACATTCATGGAGAGATTGTCTATCCAGCTGTGAATCACCCACCAGATACTCATTGCAAGGAGAAAAGACTTGGAGGATCAAGATGCCTCTTGTCTCCATCTTCTCCTGAGCGCCAAGCCTTACAGTCAAGCTAAAGACTTAAAACAAGCGCTGCATGGGAGGCAACCCATGAGGTACTTTTACTTTTCTTTCTTTAATTTTCTTAGTTTTTGTTTTGCTTTTGTGTTTTCTTTGTTTTAAGATAGGATAGAAGGAGAAAAAGGTGTGAAAACACAATCCGCGCCAAAACATTGGCCGCGGACGCGCAAAAGAAATTTTGGCCGAGCAATTCCAATCTGGCCGACCGTCACGGTCGAGCCGGGAAGGAATAGCCGTGCTCGGCCGGATCATCTACTTGCGCGACAGAAAACGTTCGCGCCACGCACGCACGAACCGGGAAAGATTAGGCCGCGATCGGCCAAATTTTCGTATCGAACGGACCATATCGAGAGACCGTCCGAACGCGCAGTCCGGCTGGCCGAGGAACGATGTTCCGCTCGGCCAAAACATCCGTCCGACTGAAGTCTCGGCCAAAGTCCAAACCATCGGCCGATCACACAGCACGACCCGGGAAACATTGCCCGCGGTCGGCCAAGCTTCAAACGTCCACGCCACACCGCGCGCGGGAAACAAGGCCTCGCGGCCGCGCAACCCGTTCCGCGTACCACGGCCGATGCATCCGTCCGAGCCGGGAAAGAACGTCCCACGTCCGGCCGAGAACCATCGGCCAAATCTCAATCCGCTCGACCACGCCGGCCGACCGAATCCGTCCGACCCCGACCGTTCCGACTCGCCCACGATCCGACTGTCCGGCCGATCGTCCCGCACGACCGTCCCAACGCCGCGGTCGACCCGAAGCCCTTTTTGAAGCCCAAACTTATGTTTTCAAGCCCGGCTTAACCCTAGCCGCCTCTAGAAAGACCTAGCACTATATATATGGATTTTTAGCCTCTTGAGAAAGAGAGCCGCCCTGTATTTCGATTTCCTACTCTAAGTTTTATTGCAATCATGTTTTCTTCATCTCTATGTGTGTTTGCTTTGATCATGTCTGAGTAATCCACTAGTTAGGTTGCTAGGGTTACTATTCAATGAGTTGCTTGCATGATCTTTGATTTCAATGATTAGCTAGGGATTATATTAGAGTCTTTGTCTCGTCTTGTGCACTTAACTAATGCTGATTGCTTTACCGCGCATCTAGTAATCCGATCTTAGGTTGATTTGAGCCTCGACAGTGCTGTATCATTCGCCGGACATATTCTTTGACAAGCTAGGTTTCTTAGACTGCGAAAGTTGATCTATCTATATCTAGTGAACTGTATCAGAACCTATTCATTCTAATGCTTGATCTAATCACCTAGGGACATACCAAAAGTTTAGCGACTAGGTAGATTAGCAAAGGAGCCGGAGCCTCGAAAGTGGAATGGTTTTATATTCGTGATCTGTGTTCTAGATGGTTCTTAATATCCCAATATCCCTAATCAATTAATCTATCATTGTTTCATTGATCATTGCTTGCTTCTCTGCGATAGCCCCTATGACCTAGCGCTTTTCCTTTATTGCTTACAACCTCGTTATACTTGCTAGTTCGGTTCACCATTACAACCTCAATCATACTTTTGTTTTAGCTTGATCCAAAATCCATAGTTACAAAGTGTACTCAAAATCCATAGTTACAAACTGGCTATTGATTTCACGGTCGTGGCCGGATGATTTAACGGTCGGCCGGCGTGGTTGGATGAATGAAGATTTGGCCAATGGTTTCTCGGCCGGACGTGGGACGTTCTTTCCCGGCTCGGACGAATGCATCGGCCGTGGTACGCGAAGTGGGTTGCGCGGCCGCGAGGCTTTGTTCCCCGGGTCGCGCGGCATGGTCGTGCGCAGCGTGGCATGAAACGGTTGTAGCTTGGCCGACCGCGGGCTCATGTTTCCCGGGTCGTGATATGTGATCGGCCGGTCGGTTTCGAACTTTGGCCGAGCGTGAAACAATAGTTTCTCGGCCAGCCGGTCTGTGCGGTTGGACGCTGATTCTTGATAGGCCGTTCCAGTTGCGTTGGAAAGTTAACTCAATCAGAGTAGATCTTTTTCTGGGCCCTCTTAAAGTTGGTGCTTCTGCATGGAGCGGCTTGAAGTGCAAATCCTATGGTTTTGCTCCAAAATGCATCATTTCACCTGTTTAGACTCTAGACACTATAAACACAGTAAAACTACCTTTTTAGATAGAAAACCTGCCAAAAACCATTAGAAAACAATGCTAAAACAGTATAAAAAGCATATAAAATAGAGGTATATCAGAAACTTAGGGAAATTTAGGGCTAGATTTTGATGTAAGACGAATGAATCGTAAGCAAGGATTTGGCTAAATGGAATTGTATTAAACGGATGAAAATGGTTACAATGAATTCCCAGAAGAGAGAAAGAACTAAGTTCAGAAGAAAATACAAGGTAAAATGATAGTAATTAGGTCTCAAATGATCGGAAGAAGGTCTGAAAAAAGTCCTTTGATCCGACTCCTTCCAGCTCCTTTTATAGCTCCAGAAGTAGCTACGATCCACCTCCGCGTATCTCGCCACGTGCAGCTAACGATCCCGGTGATCTCGGACCAGACCGGATTTGGAGGAGATCTTCTTTGACTTCGTCTTTCTTCGCAGTGCAGACCTGGTCTTTGATCGAGCTGGAGCTCGTCTTTACGTCAACCGGAATAGCTCGGATGGCAGTTAGCTGGCTTATGAGGGAGTCGCTTGGTGGGCTCGAGGTCTTCTTGCTGGGCTTGAGTGGGCCTGGACTTCAATCTTGGATCAAGGTAATGGGCCCTTACGGGCTAGATTCCAGGTGTGGAATTTGGGTCCAACACCGGTGGAGAAAAACTTGGCGAGAAACGCCTTCTTGCACTCATCCCAAGTGGTGATTGTGCCATGGGGCAGGCTCTTCTCCCATTGGTGAGCCTTGTCAGAAAGAGACAGAGGGAAGAGTCTCAGCTTGATGGCATCTTCAGAGACACCATTGATCTTAGTCAAGTCACATAACCTATCAAACTCATCAAGGTGATCAATGGGGTCTTCACTTGGCAACCCATGGAACATCTAGTACTGGACAAGGTTGATCATACCCAGCTTAAAACTCCTTGTATCAAGGCTTCTCTTGATATTGGGCTTCTCAATGCCTAGCCAACCCTTTCCCAAGGTGGAGGCTATCAACCAAGGAATGATCTCAGAAACAGGGGGTTAGCCAGTGAGAATCAAACCTTGGAGGCTATAGGATCATTGCCCAAACTAATCCATCCAACCCCTTAGACCTCTATGTCTAGAGCAAGAGATATTGGAGCTCTTAGTGGATCTTTTCCAGCGAATGCCATCACTTTCGTGTGGGGAGTCGCCTAAGGACTTACAAGCCAGGGGTAGTGGTCATGTAGCCTTAAGATCTATCCAAAAGAGAGAGAATCTAGATTAAGACCATAAGCTAGAAGGATTAAGCATATGAAACCTCTAATCTATCCCATCTCAAACCCCAATGGGTAACTACTCACTACACATGAATGTAAACACAAGCAAATGCAATAAAAGAGACATCATAAGAAAGAGGAGATGAAATTAAACAACTTTTATTGAAATAAGCAAGTGCAAATACAAGAGAGATTATCCAGGATCTAAGATTCAAGAAGCAAGAGCTTCAAGAACACCCTGCACAAGTTAGACAAACATGAGGAGAAGGATACTTGCATTTACATAGTTTTAGCACATCTTTTATGCATCTTTTGCATAGTTTTAGCTTCCATTTGCATCATATCTTGTTCCTTTTCTCTTCTTATGCATTCATGTTAGTTTTAGGTTGCATTTGCATACATATGCATGTTTGGTCCTTTGAAATAGGTCTTTTGGAGCATTCTGGAGCATATGGGACATGAGGAGCATGGAGGGACTTGGCACATGGAAGCAGCTCAACTGGATACGCAAAGGAAGAAGGGAGAAGCCATCTTGAAGACCAGCTCGACCGTCTACTCGACCAACCGGTCGAGTTCCTCAACTCGACCGGCCAAGCTTCAACTCGATCGAGCTGGAAGTCAAAGTCAAACCCGAAAAATGTTGCTTCCCCCTTGACTTTCCTTTGACCCTAAACCTAATCCTCTTGTATTTAAAGGCTCTAAGCCACGAAAAAACCACCAAGCTTTAGATTATTTTGTTTTAGCTTTCTTTAATTTATTGTCTTTACTTTTTAGAACTAATCCCATCTTTGTGTTCTTGAAGCTCTTGCTTCTTGAATCTTAGATCCTGGATTAATCTCTTTGTATTTGCACTTGCTTATTTCAATAAAAGTTGTTTAATTTCATCTCCTCTTTCTTATGATGTCTCTTTTATTGCATTTGCTTGTGTTTACATTCATGTGTAGTGAGTAGTTACCCATTAGGGTTTGAGATGGGATAGATTAGAGGTTTCATATGCTTAATCCTTCTAGCTTATGGTCTTAATCTAGATTCTCTCTCTTTTGGATAGATCTTAAGGCTACATGACCACTACCCCTGGCTTGTAAGTCCTTAGGCGACTCCCCACACGAAAGTGATGGCATTCGCTGGAAAAGATCCACTAAGAGCTCCAATATCTCTTGCTCTAGACAATAGAGGTCTAAGGGGTTGGATGGATTAGTTTGGGCAATGATCCTATAGCCTCCAAGGTTTGATTCTCACTGGCTAACCCCCTGTTTCTGAGATCATTCCTTGGTTGATAGCCTCCACCTTGGGAAAGGGTTGGCTAGGCATTGAGAAGCCCAATATCAAGAGAAGCCTTGATACAAGGAGTTTTAAGAGCTAGATTGATTAAGTGTAGATTCCTTTGATTGCAAAACCCTGTCTTGAACCCTAATTCTCTCTTTATCTTGTTAAAGTCGTCACCTTTAGCTTTTTTGCTCAACTCGACCCTAAACTCGATCGAGCTGGTACTCTGTCCACTCGACTCGAGTCTTGGTCGAGCTACTTGTTTACTGCTTTGTTTACTTTTATTGCACTGCATTTTCATTTTTAGGTTGTTAGTGTTACTTCAAATCTATAACTGCTTGCTTGACTTTCTGGTTGTTTCATATTCTCATAGAGTGACAAGTTTCCCATTTTGGATTGATAACCTCTTATACTTCATGACTATGATGGTTAAGAGGAATTGTTGACTGTGTTTGTGTTTGCATCTTACCACCATCATTTACCACTGATTGCATTCCACTCATCTCATTTCATTCTTTTCACATCCACACACAAATCTTTATCATCAGTCATGCACCTCTGGAAAGTAGCTGGAGCATTGCACAGCCCAAATGGCATCCTTCGATAAGCAAAGGTGCCATAAGGGCATGTGAAAGTGGTCTTCTCCTGATCATTAGGGTGGATCGGGATTTGGAAGAAACCACTGTAGCCATCAAGAAAACAATAAAAAGGTGGTTTGCCAATCTTTCTAACATCTGATCAATGAAAGGGAGAGGGAAATGATCCTTTCTAGATGCTGAATTTAGCTTCCTATAGTCAATACACATGCGATGCCCCACTATTGTTCTAGTGGGAATCAGCTCCTCTTTGTCGTTTTTAATGACAGTGATCCCCCCTTTCTTTGGGACGCAATGAACTGGAGATATCCAAGTGCTATCACTGATGGGATAGATTATCCCAGCATCAAGCAACTTGAGTATCTCTTTCTTCACTACTTCCTTTAGATTGGGGTTCAATCTTCTTTGAGGTTCAATGCTTGACTTACTTTCATCCTCTAGATGAATCCTATGGATGCATAGGTCAGGGGAGATCCCCTTGATATCATCTAGAGTGTAACCTATTGCCTTTCTGTACTTTCCTCAATTCAACAAGCAAAGCACTCAACTGTTCAGGTTCCAAATCAGAGTTCACAATGACAGGGTAAGTTGAGTTTTCACCCAGAAATGCATACCTGAGGCCCTCAGGCAAAGGTTTGAGGTCGACTTTAGGCGCCTTAAGCTCAGACCAATCTCCTTGAGCTTGCTCCTTGCATCTCAGCCCCCAGCTCGATCGAGTTCGTTTGTTCGACTCGACTCGATCGAGTTCTTGATCGAGCTCACTGCCATGACTTCGCAAACTGGCCTGTCCAATCCCTCAATGCTCAGAATGTTTGGAACTGGTCTGAAGGTGTCAAGGAGCTTCTTGTACTCATCAGTTTCTGAGCTCACATATCCCTCTGAAGAATCCTTGGTCAAAGCAACTTGTAGTGGATCCTCTGTTGATAACTCTTCTAGAAGCTCATCTGCCAACTGATCCATTTCCTCAACATAAAAGAGCTGACCTTCTATAGTTGGTTTCCTCATTGTATCTTGATATCAAACTTCATCTTCAGGTCCTTTCCCAAGTTTAGCTCAATTGTTCCTTCACAGACATCTATCATTGCTCTTGCTGTAGCTAGGAATGGCCTTCCTAGAATCAATGGATCTGTTGGTTCCTCATCCATCTCAAGCACAATGAAGTCTGTGGGGATTTCCACATTCCCTATCCTCAAAGGCAGGTCTTCAAGCATCCCAGTTGGTAACCTTATCGATCTATCTGCCAAGACTAGTGAGATTCCGCAGGCTTGGTACTTGTGATATCCCAGTCTCTTCGCTACAGACAAAGGCATGAGGCTGACAGATGATCCTAGATCGCAGAGACTGTTTTTGAAAGATAGGGGTCCTAACATGCAGGGCAAAGTGAAACTCCCCGGATCTTCCTTTTTGTCGGAGATGACCTTCCGCTGAATGATTGCACTGCACTCGCGAGTCAACACTACCATCCCTTGTGCTTCCCTGGTTCTTTGCTGAACAGCATCCTTCAGAAATTTCTGATAAGGCGGAATGAGCATCAAGGCGTCGATGAAGGGCAACTTCAACTCAAGCTGTCTCATTAGTTCATCAAACTTGGCCTTGTGTGCTTCCAACAGTTGTTTCTTGAACCTTCCTGGAAAGGGCAGAGGGGGCTTGTATGGTGGTGGTCCTGCTGGAGTGTCTTTCTTCTTTGCAACAGGTTTAGCTGGTTGGCTGGAGTTTGCTTTGTCTGTTCTCTTCTGAGCTCGATCGAGCTCTGGTTTGTCTTGCAGTGTCTCAGTTTCTCCAGCTCGATCGAGTTCTGGTTCAGGGTTTTGTTCCAGCTCGATCGAGTTCGGGTCGAGTTATCAGCATAGTCGACTAAATCCTCCCCTTCCTCGTCATCGATGTCCACAGCGATTTGGGGTGGGCTACCTCTACTAGGGAATTGCCTCCCACTTCTTAGTGTAACTGCTTGGGCATACTCTTGTGGTGAAGAGGATGATGCACTTGAAGACTCAATGATTTGGACTCTTGAAGTCAATGACTCTAGTTTAGAGTGTATCTCAACCAGCTTGTTGTTCATTTCCAGAGAACCTTTGGCTTGCCCTTGTAAAAGTTGTTGGAGCATTTCCTTCATATCCCAATCTTGAGTTGGTTGGGTATGAGTAGTCCTTGTGTTGAAGCCTTGTGGAACACTTTGTTGTTGGTGCGGCCAGGGGGCTTGATAATTGTTGTATCGCCCTTGTTGAGGATTCCTATAGCTTCCTTGTCTATTTTGAATGTAGCAAACTCTTGTGTTGTTCCTCCCCTTCCTGGTCCTTGACTAAGGTTTGTTCTGAGACATAGTTGACATGCTTGGCAGGGAATTGGGCTAGGATCAGTTTGTCCAACTTCGATTGAGTGCAAGCATGTCTTTTCTCATCTGAGCGTCCAGCTCGATCGAGTGCGCGGTCGAGCTCCAGTCTGTACTCATACTGCTCTCCATAGCATTCTTTGATATGGCCATGTTCTCCACAAGTTGCCAGCCATCATCTACATCCTGGTTGAGGAAGTTCCCATTGCTAGCTGTGTCTAGCATCTCCCTATACCTAGGCAAGCATCCTCTATAAAGAGTGGAGAGTAGTGATTCATTGTTGAATCCATGGTGTGGGCACTGACTTGTGTAGCCTTTGAACCTCTCCCAAGCCTCTGCGAATGTCTCATTGTTTCGCTGGATGAAGCTGGATATCTCTCCTCTAAGCTTGGCTGTGCGACCGGTGGAGAAAAACTTAGCAAGAAAGGCCTTCTTGCATTCATCCCAAGTGGTGATTGTGCCATGGGGCAAGCTCTTCTCCCATTGGTGAGCTTTGTCAGCTAGAGACATAGGAAAGAGTCTCAGCTTGATGGCATCTTCAGAGACACCATTGATCTTTGTCAAATCACAAAGCCTATCAAACTCATCAAGGTGGTCAATGGGGTCTTCACTTGGCAATCCATGGAACATCTTGTTCTGGACAAGGTTGATCATTCCCAGCTTGATCTCAAAGTTGTGGTTCTGCACTGGTGGTGGAACAATCCCTTGTCTCTGTTGGTGGCGGTTTGGAGCATCTCCTTGACCAATCGGTCGAGTTTGCCTAGCTCGACCGAGTCCATTGCCCAAAGGGTTTCCATTCCCCTCTGGTACATCCATTGTATCAGCAACAAGCACCTCAGGTTCCTCTTGTACCCTCTGTGACCTCTGAACCCTCTTTCTACCCGTTGTAAGTCTAGCTCGACCAAGTCTTCTGTAGACCGACTCGATCGAGTTCGCATACACCTGCAAAAAGAGACAAAAACCCAGCAGTACAATAGAACAGGGGTGGTATAGCTTGATCGTCCAAGTGTGTTTGAAACTCAAATGCAACAAAAATATTCCCAAATCGGCAACGGCGCCAAATTGATGATAGGATTTTGTGTGGATGTGAATGATATGAAATGATGATGAGGTGGAATGCAAACAGGGTAATAAAGATGATGGTATGGTGCAATCACAATCAATCAATTCCTCTTAACCATCATAGTCATTGAAGTATAAGAGGTTATCAATCCAAAATGGGAAACTTGTCACTCTATGAGAATATGAAACAACCAGGAAGTCAAGCAAGCAGTTAAGATTTGAAGTAACACTAACAACCTAAAAAAATGAAAAGCAGTGCAATAAAAGTAAACAAAGCAGTGAAGTGTCAGCTCGACCAAGACTCGAGTCGAGTAGAGCAAAGTACCAGCTCGATCGAGTTTAGGGACGAGTTGAGACAAACAAAGCTAAAGGTGACGACTTTAACAAGATAAAGAGAGAATTAGGGTTCAAGACAGGGTTTTGCAATCAAAGGAATCTACACTTAATCAATCTAGCTCTTAAAACTCCTTGTATCAAGGCTTCTCTTGATATTGGGCTTCTCAATGCCTAGCCAACCCTTTCCCAAGGTGAGGCTATCAACCAAGGAATGATCTCAGAAACAGGGGGTTAGCCAGTGAGAATCAAACCTTGGAGGCTATAGGATCATTGCCCAAACTAATCCATCCAACCCCTTAGACCTCTATTGTCTAGAGCAAGAGATATTGGAGCTCTTAGTGGATCTTTTCCAGCGAATGCCATCACTTTCGTGTGGGGAGTCGCCTAAGGACTTACAAGCCAGGGGTAGTGGTCATGTAGCCTTAAGATCTATCCAAAAGAGAGAGAATCTAGATTAAGACCATAAGCTAGAAGGATTAAGCATATGAAACCTCTAATCTATCCCATCTCAAACCCTAATGGGTAACTACTCACTACACATGAATGTAAACACAAGCAAATGCAATAAAAGAGACATCATAAGAAAGAGGAGATGAAATTAAACAACTTTTATTGAAATAAGCAAGTGCAAATACAAAGAGATTATCCAGGATCTAGATTCAAGAAGCAAGAGCTTCAAGAACACAAAGATGGATTAGATCTCTAAAAAGTAAAAGACAATAAATTAAAAGAAACTAAAACAAAATAATCTAAAGCTTGGTGGTTTTTTCGTGGCTTAAGCCTTTAAATACAAGAGGATTAGGTTTAGGGTCAAAGGAAAGTCAAGGGGGAAGCAACATTTTTCGGGTTTGACTGTTGACTTCTCAGCTCGATCGAGTTGAAGCTTGGCCGGTCGAGTTGAGGAACTCGACCGGTTGGTCGAGTGACGGTCGAGCTGGTCTTCAAGATGGCTTCTCCCTTCTTCCTTTGCGTATCCAGTTGAGCTGCTTCCATGTGCCAAGTCCCTCCATGCTCCTCATGTCCCATATGCTCCAGAATGCTCCAAAAGACCTATTTCAAAGGACCAAACATGCATATGTATGCAAATGCAACCTAAAACTAACATGAATGCATAAGAAGAGAAAAGGAACAAGATATGATGCAAATGGAAGCTAAAACTATGCAAAAGATGCATAAAAGATGTGCTAAAACTATGTAAAATGCAAGTACATCAATTACTTCAAAGCGGGCTAGTGGTAGGACTAGTAGGTCAGCCTTCAAGGTGTCTCCCTGCAATTCAACAGGCACACCGAAAACTACACGGGATGCCTTAAGGACTTGGTCTCCAGGGGTTAATATATTAACCTCCACCAATCCTATCTTATAGGCATCCCCAAAACGAGATGCTACTTCAGGAGTCACAAAACTATGTGTCGCTCCCGAATCAAACAAAACATGTGTCAGGTTACTACCTACACATATTGTTCCAAGCATCACCCAATACCAATACATTTACTAATCAAGCAAGCAATCACACCACAATTAATCAAACTCTAAAACAAGATAGAGTTAGCGCCCTTTCATACCTGTAATGGGACCTTGGGTTTGTCCCGACGGGTTTGATGGTCCTGATTCTAAAGCATACACCTTACCCGTGTTAGTTAGCCGGTTAGCCGGGGATTCTTTCATTGGTCGGGTCGATGCTTCCTTGTCAGCGCCTTTTGCTGCACCACCAGCCTTACGAGGACAGGCATTTGAGTAATGCCCTTGCTCACCACATGAGAAACATTTAGCCGAAGCTCCTGCCGGCCTATTACGGTAACACATCCGCGCGACATGTCCCATCTTTCCACATGTATAACATTTCTTATTTTCATCTCCAGATGGTTGTCCACCTTTACTGGGATTAGGTTGGTTGGATGACTGGTTTGCCTTCTTTGCCTTGCTTGCTGTCTTGGATTCTATCTTTCGTTTATTCCAAGCAGCCTTCTCCTTAAGTAGATATGCCTCCACATTCACTGCTCTCTCTATTATCTCATGGGGGTTGGTGAAAGTGGCTGACTGAAGTCGACTTCCTATCTCCGGTTTCAGACCTTGCATGAATTGCCTCACCAAGGCCTTATCATCCACATTGCAATATGAGACATAACGCTGAAGTCTCATAAATTCTGCTTCATACTCCCTTACACTCTTTTCTCCTTGCTCAAGTCGGAGAAATTCTTGAGCTAAGCGATCTCTTGCTTCAGGTGGGAAGTACTTTTGCTCAAATTCTTCCATGAATTTTTCCCAGGTGTTGATTTGATACTCCTTCTGTCGATCTACACTCTCCCACCAGTTTAATGCCTCCTTTGCTAAGTAGTAAACTCCGACGTCCTTCTTGAAGTCGTTTGGACATCTGGTTGCGGTGAAGTTCTTCTCTATGCATTATAACCATGAATCCGCCTGATAAGGATCTGGCTCGCCTCCAAAGTGGTAAGTTCCCAAAGTCTTCATAGTAGTTACTATTTTGAGAAAGTCTGGTGGTGGAGTTGCTCCATTTCCCGGACCTGATGCAGCTCGGTGAAGAACTTGAGATAAGAGATCATGCACCATGGAAAGAGTTGGATCGGCTCGTTGTTGACCGTCTTGTTCCATCAGTGGCCTAGCATCTTGCCGTGCTGGTTGATTAGCGGATCCGGAATGCTCACCCCGAGCATTCCCATCCATGATTTGTGGATGATGAACTCGAGATCTTGTCCCATGAGAGTGAATGGAGGATATATAAGGAGAGATTGAGTGGTCTCTCCTTCCGGGGTTCTCGTAGTCTCGATCCTCGGCTGGACTATCAGTCTGTGGCATATAACCATGCATCATCCCCTCATCCCAATCTTCCTCTATGTCGTGCGTTGGTACATCTGATGTCTCTCTTCCTATCCCATCTTCTGGCGCATCCCGACCCAATGATAAATCCCTCGACCAATCGTGACTCGACATCCTGAAACCAATTAGTAAACAACCTAACATCTAATCCTAATAGGCAGAACAGACCCGATTCGTAATTTGGCTTTTGCGACTCCTTTGACTCGGTAAGACATTTTGAAAACGGCATTCCCAGTGAGCATGACCATGAACCACGCTCTGATACCACCATTTGTAACACCCCCGATTCGGAATATAAATAGACTAAACCGCAGATGTCACAATTGTGTAGGTCCATCAAGTAATCCATCCCAGGTCTCAGAACACATCAGAGCCCAGGCCAGTTAACCTGATGAATACGACCCTCTCGACCATTGGTTAAGGCTTTGCAACCTTTACCTCTAGTCTTGAGTTGTGTTAGCTTGGACTAGCTAATATCATTCCAGTAAGCCGGGTTTTGCAAAAACATACCTTTACATTTCAAACACTGAAAACATGTTCTTACAAAACCTTATCCTACATTGCCGGCATGGCCTAACGCCCAAAAGAAAGACATTGCAATACATTACCCGAAATCGAGTTTTTAACAAAAGCCAAGCAAACTACTCCGGTCTTCGAGTGTTCTGCCTCCCGCCCACGGGCTATCTACTCCAAACTTCCTGTAACACAAATAATTGTCATGAGTAACCTAATGTTACTCATTGAGTTCAGGACCCTCTATACAAAGGTTATTCCCCAAACCCAACCCCAAAAATAAAACACATTGTGTAATGCTGCTATAGCCTCCAAACTGACCGCACAACAATCAAACAAGAACATGTACGACCAATCAGAGATTATAAGCAACACATAACAATGCTCAATTCTAAACCATGGGCTTATCACCCCGCCACCTGCATCAAATAAAAGTATGCATAATATATGCATACCACCTGCAAATTAAGAGCAATCACACATGTAATTAAAATGCAATCAACACTACGACAAGTACTCATGTACTTAACCCTCAGTCTATACTCCATTGGTTCACCGGTTAAACCTCTAACTGGTGTACCAAGGGAACTCATTACACGCACACGCGAAGCACCGCGCCAGGAAACACACAGTAACCTGACTGGCCCTCACTCATCGACCTAACCTCACTGTTAGTCGGATCATACCGTCGTATGATATTAACTTCTTCTTTCTCTTCTTCTCCACACCCTCTCTCTTTCCATTTCTAGTTTTTCTCTCTAGATTTCAGTTTTTGGTGTGGTTTGGAAGTGAAGACCAAGGGGGTCTTTATATAGATTTTTCGGAAGCTCAAGGTGGCGTCTGATGGCTTCAGAACGCGATACCTTACTTCTGCATGCAACCAATGGCATGGGAGCACGCCTGGAGCTGCTTCTCCCATCCCCATCCACTTGGGTCGAATGGCACCTTCCCATTGGTCCATTCCCCAAGCTGCTGGATGGCTGAACGTGATTGGTTCGTTGAGGATGAACATCTCCTCCTTGTTCCTATCTTCCTAGATCAAGTGGCTCCTTTCCATTGGCTCCTTCCCTCAGTTGTTGAGTGCCATCACTTGATTGGCCTAGAACTCCTTCGTCCTTACTCAGTAGCTGAGTGTAGCCTTCTCATTGGTTCAGACCACTCTTATCCTTTAAGCTGCTGGTGTCAACATCCCATTGGTCTTGAGATGATGTGCTCCTTCCCACGTTTCTTCTTGCAGAGGGTTTTGTACGTTTCCCTTTCCAAAGGGTTTTGTACGTTTCCTTGTTCGGAGGGTTTCGTTCCCGTCGTGCTTGAGAATTGAAATCTCCCATTTTAATCCTTCTGTCATATCCATGTTTCTGAGCTTTCAGATAGCTGCTTGGAAATGTCCGGAATACCTCCATCCCGGGACATTTGTATATCTTGTGGGATAGATCCTCTGTGGGATGGTTGTTTTAACTATCCGTCCCATCACGTGCTTAGCCATCGTGAGGGGTATTACACTGTCGCCGTCCATCGGGGGAATATCACCTCGATGGTACATGCGGATGAGGTTACTGATGAGGTTCTTACAGTTTTCGTTGGAGTGGCCGGTTCTCCCATGGATCTTGCAGAATGCTTTGGTGTCGTTATCGTCTCTGAGTGGGGCAGCGTCGGGAGGCGTTGAAATTGTCGCGGCATACCACGATTCTTGCTCGGACTCGTCATCTGCTGCCGCGAACGATGTGAGGAGCGATCTTTTGGGGTCGGGTTTCCTCCGTACCTCCACGGCTTCTTCTCTAGGTTTGGGCGGGGCCGTCCTCCTATCTCCATGCTTCTCGGCATAGAAAGGCTTGTCTTCCTCGAGGAAGATGTAGCTCTGGGAGTGATGGAATGCGTCTTCCAAAATTGTGGGAGTCTTTAGTGATAAATCCTCCTTGAATTTGGAGTCGTACCAGAGGCCGTTACGGAGTGCTTCTAGCGGGAAACTGTCGGGCATGTCGCGAGCTGCTTGCTTGAACCTTTCCATGAAACTATGTAATGGTTCACCTTGTGCTTGCGTCGTGGTGAACATGTTCCGCGTGACTCGGGTCATATCCATGGAGTAATGCTTCAGGAAAGCATTAGTCAAGTCGTCGAAGTTATGGATTGACTCGGCAGGGAGGTTGGAGAACCAGGTCAAGGCATCCTTCGTCATGTGTTCGACGAATACTTGACAGTAGTTGGCTTCCTTCTCGTCGTAGGATTTGTTTTTCTCCCTTGTCATGGCGAGATTGAACGCGGTCAGCCACTTCTTGGGGTCTTCTTCTCCAGTGTAAGAGTCGATCTTGAGTCGAATTCTCACGCAGATCGATCTGGCGGAGCCCGCGAGTGAGCGGGCTCTTCCGGGTATCGGCAAGTGCTTTCGTCAACGCCGGGGCTGAGCTAGTGGCGCGATGAATCTTAGAATTGACCTCGTCGAGACGACGGTTCATTCGTTCGAATTCTAGGGCCGCTCGTCGGCCAAAACGTGCTGGGCGAGTAGTGGTTCCGTTGATCGTCGCGGCTGCGGGATCCAACGGTTCCTCGTCGTCTTCTCGGGCCAAGGCCTCCACTTGCTCATGAGTCTTCTTCTGCTGTGCTTGCATTGCCTCAAAGCCTTCAGCTAGCGGCTTGACGAGACTCTCCATGTGTTTGCGGAGTTTGTCGCTCGAAGAAGATTTCTTCGGGTTGCGAGGCTTGTCGCTCGAAGAGGATTTCTTCGAGCGGCGTCGTGTGGACGGAGGAGGGCTCTCGTCATATCCTTGGCGATGCAGATCGTCGCGGCGAAGTAGATCTTCGCGGCGAAAAAGATCTTCGCGGCGAAGTCGATCCACTTCTTGGGGGGACAGATTTGTCCCTGTCTTCAGCGTGCAGCGACTTATCTACCGTCGGTGGCGGCTGATCATCGCTTGGGTTTCTTTCTGTTCGGGATGGACTCCCGGTAGGGGTGTTCTCTTTCTAGTTCACCATGGTTGTATCTTCGTAAAAGTCTAGATACCTACAAGATGAATAGCGAGAAGCGTTTCCAGCCCCACGGTGGGCGCCAATTGTTAGATCTGAGATAGCACTCGTTAAGACGGGATACCAAAGATGTGAGTTTAGGAAACTGGAGGTTTGATTAACTCGAAGAATATCAGGAAGATTACAAAAGATGTTATCTCGCCAATATGCTTGACCAGATGAACTATGATGAACAAGAGGAAAGCGAACAGGAAAGTAAAGAGAATGCTAAGCCTAGATTTCTTGTGAGTAATTCTAGATGATCCGATCCCTCCATCATTATATAATGTTGATAGGTCGGCTCCTTGGTGAATATTTTCCTTCCGGCGATATGGAAAACTTCCTCTTTAGCGATATGGAAAACTTCCTCTTTAGCGATATGGAAAACTTCCTCTTGTTCTCGATTTCCTCCCATTTTTCGAGTCGGCATGAGGGTTTGTTTACATTTTCTCATGAGTTGTGCCTTTCTCCTCAAGTCTTGCCATTTTGTTGAGGAGGGTAGGCCTGAAGTCGGATTGGAGTTTGTGATTTTACTAATGATGACAGGCTCAGGGAAATGTGCTAATTTCTCCTCTAACAAAAGGCTGGTCTTAAATTGTTTTTGTTGATTTTGAATCAGACAATTATTATTACACCTTCAAACCAAAATGATATTCTAACAATTATTTTGGATCATCATTTGGGAAAAACCATCTTTAAGCCATTTTTATCTGAAAGAGAAAGAGAAAGATTATTGAGATAAGGATATATTCCTATATTGTAGTAAGGATAACTTTCTATTGTGTGAGGTTTCATAGTCGTTACCATTCTTGTATAAATACCATGCTATGTGAATCAATACAATTAAATTTTTACCTAGATAGAAGGAATTGAATACACCGACAGGTATGCTCCAGTCCCTAAAATGGCCACGGTTCGATTTCTTTTAGCTGTAACTTCGGAACAAGGATGGACGGTTTGTCAAATGGACGTACATAACGCTTTCTTACATGGAGATCTCGATGAGGAAAGTTATATGAAGTTACCTCCAGGCTTTGAAAGTGATGATCCTTCTAACGTATGTCGATGATATCACCATATTTTACATGATTTTACTATATAACTATTTATGTTTTCAAACGGTTTTTGCAAGATTCTTTGCCTTTAGAGGTAGTTTTCTTGTATTTGGGGGATTTGAAGTCTTTTTATGTGAAACCATCAAAAAGGATGCAAAAAGGAGTAAAAGAGTCTCAAACCAACTTCCATGCAAGTCTCCAAGTCAAGAACATCATTTTGTCTCCAAGTGTTAGTTCTCGCTAGCGAGCAGAACGAAGCTTCGGAAGTTTGGCCGCGTGCGGAGGAGTTTCCGACGTCCAAAAGTCACGATCTTGATATGGAAATATAGATAATTGAGTCATGCATTACGTCGAAGTGGAATGAAGCCATTTGGATCAACTATAAGGCCAAAATTTATTTTCTACCGAGACATGTCCGGTAAGCAAGCAACCGAAGCCCATAGAGGATTTGAAGTGTCTAATGGCCCGAGAAGCAGCGCCAAAGGCCTTGAATGAATAAAGAATAGGCCTGGCTAATGTGTGGAGCTTTCCTTGTTACAATTTCGGCCCATATACGACGTGGAGGAGAAGGCTCGGCTCATGGGAAACATTCCTTTTATGGCATGAAGAAAACCCTACTCGACTTCCCCCATATATACATGTTTTTAGCCGCTGAAGAAGAGAGTCGTGTGTGTGAGTTTGTGAAAAGAGAGTCCATAGAAGAGAGCCGCCAAGAGAGAAGCCCTAGGAAGTCGTCTAGAAAGAAGGAGGCGCCGCCCAACTCTTGTTCTTTCTTGTTTCATTATTTCCATTTCTTTGTATTTGATTCTAAGAGTTTCAAGGGAGAATCAGACTTTGTTCATCAATAGAGAAGATTTCTTCATCCCTTTATCTCTTTTAATACTTGCATAATGCTTTCAATCATGCTTTGCTTGTTTGTTTGCATCATGGCCGAGTAGATCTCTTAGTTAGGCCGAGAAGATCTATGATGGCCGTGATGATTTGATTGTGTTGCAACTTATTGGGATTTATCTTATGGATATTCACCTTTACTTGAACTTAATGCATGATTACTCTACCGTACATATAGTAATCTGATCTTAGAGAAATAGAACCACGACAGTGCTGAATCTAGATCTCGAAAACTAGTATTTGGTGAGCAATAGATCATAGCCAACGAAAGCTGAGTTATGGTTCATTGTGAACAATTGAATCTTGATCACCTTTAATGCATGTTTGCAATCTAATAGCCAACGAAAGCTGAGTATATTAGGTTGTTTTAAACATAGTGGTTGGAGCCACGACAGTGGAAACCATACACTAGTGATTCATGTTCAAGACGGCTCTACACACATCCCATGCAACTATCTTTTCATCATTGCTCCATATGATTGTCCTTTGCCTAACTCTTGTTTTAAATTG